GTCTTTTACTTTTGGCAAAACACACTTAATCCAGACTAACCAACAAATTTAAATGTCTGTTTAGCAATTACATTCAATAGACTAGTTCTGCACTAAAATGATAAAGACAACCCAAGACACAACAAAGTTAAAAGAATAACAAGTAAAATTAATTACTGGGAAGAATTTGTAGAGATCTGTGAATATTACAGCACTGAATTCCTAGATTATCTTTTAACTGAATTTTTAGGGACCTAAAAAAAAAAATTAAGTAGCTACATTCAATTGCAATACAAGGAGGAAAAGTGGGTTTATGGATTCTGTATGTTTACACAAGTTGAATAAAAGTAGATGAGACTAATGAATTATAATTGGTGTTTTCAGTCCTATGGAAAACATAAATTGTAAGAAATAAGTTCTACCAGAAAAGCATTATGAGGAAAATTTAAATGACCCTCAAATATTTGAGAATACCATCAGAACTAGTTAACTGGAAGCAGCTACAATTGCTATTTCAGAAAATTCACACAGACTTTGGTCAATCAATTTATCAGTCGACTATGCTTTCTATATCTCAGCACTACTGACATTGGCTGCCTGTGCACTGGAGTATGTTTAGCAGCATCCCTGACTTCTACCCATTAGGTACCAGTAACACTCTCCTCAGGTTCTGACAACCAAAAATGCCTCTGGACAGTGCTGAATGTACCCTGTTGTTGTTGTTAGGCGCAGTCAAGTCAGTTCCAACTCATGATGACCCTAAGTACAAGAGAATGAAACACTGCCCATTTGCACGGTTCTGCGCCATCCTCACAATTGTTGTTAGGCTTGAGCCCATTGCACTTTAAAAGTACATACTTTACAAGAATGTACCCTGGGGAGCAAAAATCACTCTGGGTTGAGAACCACTGGGGGTAGAGGCAGCTTCAGTGTTCATCCTTACTTCCATGGAGTTCAGAAAAGCAAATAAAGTTAAAGAAACACTTCACTGAGTACTGAGTAGAGTACATGACTCAGGGTAAAGTTATGGCGTGAGTTTTCCACTCCCCTTTTAAAATACCACATTTTCTAAAGGCCAAGAACCACACACCCAAAAACAGAGGCATATCATTTTCATGCCTTGTTCCTGCTGGCAGTCTCTGAACTTCCTAATTCATAGACAAGCCAGAGAAAACACATCATATGCAAGGTTAAGTATACTAAGCCTTTAGCCAACTGTAGAAGTGCTAGGTGTGGTTTCTTTTTTTTTCAGGGGGTGCCTTTGTATACTGTTCTGTTTTAAAGCAGTGAGTATGTTTATAGACATACATATATCATTAAGACTGTTTCAGTAAAATACTAGTCAAACACAATTAACCAGAATATTGGAAGAAATTTATATTCTGATAAACTAAAGGGTTAAAAAGCATTTTCTTAATACGTCTGTTGTAGAAAATCTGTGTGCCTTAGCACAAAACGCTGAACAAAAACGCCGAACAAAACCACATTTTCTTTGTTGACTAAGAATTTTGCAGTGCTTCATGGATTTATGAAGATCAATTATGACTGAACAGTATTGAAGATTCAGAAAATGCAGACAGTAGGCTACACCTAAAAATTATTCTACACCATTCTATAGAAAATAAATCTTCTTAATAAAATGAATTTAGTAAGTGATGTTATTTGCCTGTTTCCTAAAAGTGAGACCACCACCAAAATCAATCTAGCTACCTGAAGGTTTTAATTAGCTGTGTTCCACTTAAACGAGGCTTTCTTAATTAATAACATTTATTTGGCTTGGATTCCTTACCATTTCTGGGCAAAAATACACTGACTCTACTCCTCTGCATATTCACCTACTATGGCAATGAGTCAGAATCGACTCCACAGCAGCGGGTTCGGGTTCGGTTTATTTTATTTTTTTTAATACCAATAAAGCCTATTTCCCAATTTTTTTATATACTTTAGCTGTGAAATGCATCTAACATGTTCTAACAATCAAAACACATGCCAATAAAAAGGATTTTTCTAGAAATGTGCACAGAAGAGCAGCATCAACTTCTCAACTGATGGTAACAAATTATATTTCGTACAAAGGAACAAATCAATTCAACTTTAAATAACCAACTAGTAATCCTAAATAATCCCTAGGTAATTCTAATTTGCATACTAGTATATAATGAAGTTTTATATACTAATATGCAAATTAGAATTACCTGGGGATTTTAACTGTTGGATCCCCCACTCCCCACCATAAATTAAATCAGACTTTAAAGGCTCCCAGGTGATTCTCCATGTGTAGCAGGGTCAAGGATCACTACTCCAAAAAACTGAAAGACTCTTTTTTTTCCCCCCATGAAAGCTTTCCCCTCACTTTTTTCCCTTGATGTTTTTTAGGTAATATGGTTCTAGAATTTCAAAGATAACTCAGAAAAATGTTTTAAAATTCAGACTAACTTTAAAACATAGTTGTTATTTGAACACTCTCTCAGTATGAAGCACAATGCCATAAAGAACTTTAACAGGCATGCCTGTCATTTATAGGTAAATTCTAAACTAGTTCTCAAACAAGTTCACACAACCTTGGGCTCCTCACAAGGTACTTGTCTTAGTTGTCTAGTGCTGGTGTAACAGAAATACCACAAGCGAGTGGCTTTAACAAACAGAAATTTATTTTCTCACGGTTTAGGACGCTAGAAGTCTGAAATCAGGGTGCCTGCTCTAAGAGAAGGCTTTCTTTCTGTCAGCTGTGGAGGAAGGTCCTCGTCTCCTTTCGAACTTCTGCTCCTGGGCTTGCCATCTCTCTTCCCCCAACTCTGCTTCTGCTCACCTGTTTAATTTCTTTCATATCTCAAAAAAAGGAGCCCTGGTGGCGCAGTGGTTAAGCGTTCAGCTGCTAACCTAAAGGTCAGCGGTTCGAACCCACCAGCCACTCAGTGGGACAAAGATGTGGTAGTCTGCTTCCATAAAGATTACAGCCTTGGAAACCCTACTGGACAGTTTTACGCTGTCCTATAGAGTTGCTATGAATCGAAAGCAATGGGTTTTATATCTCAAAAGAGATGGACTCAAGATACACCCTACACTAATCCTGTCCATTAACATAAAAACAATCCATTCCCAAATAAGATTACAACCACAAGCAGAGGGCTAGGATTTACAACACAAATTTTTGGGGGACACAATTCAATCCATAACAGTACTTCATGGGAAATCTTAACAGAATGTGGCCAAACTGCTTAACAATGGCTACCTTTTGTGGAACCGGGAATGTGAAGAGGACTCTATTTCTTGCTTCACACAATTCTCTATTATTTCATTTTAAACAATTAGTGTGATCATATTCTTTTATCTATCCTTACGACCAAAAACTGCCATGTATGGCACCATAAACCCAAACCCATTGCTGCTGAGTCACTTCCGACTCAAAGCAACCCTACAGGACAGAGTACAACTGTCCCAAAGGATTCCAAGGCTATAACTCTTTACTGAGCCAATTGCCACATCTTTCTCCCTTGGAGTGGCTGGTGAGTTCAAACCTACACCTTCAGTTAGCAGCCAAGCACTTAACCACTGTGCCACCAGGGCTCCTTTGTATGGCACCACAGAAAACCAACTTTTTAAAAGCCTTTTCTAAATAAGCCGATTTAGTGAAAACTAAGAAAGCTATGTTAGTACACATCACATTTATCCTCTATTGTTATTTTTCTTAACTTCATGATTACTACAATGACAGTAAACAGTAGCTAATAAAACAATGTGGTGTTCTAGTGCTTTATCACGCAGAGATCTTTTTCACTGTTTTCCTTCACAGGTGTTAAGGGTAGCAACAGGAATTTCTAGACTACAAGGTAGTTTCTGTGGGGATGGGGGGAAAAAAAAGCACCAATTTGAATTTCAGTCAAGGGCGGATTACACAATAATCAAGGTAAGCACGGGCTTACTTTTGCTTACTTACTAATCTGTAGTGACCAATTAGTAAGCAAGCACAAGTAAGCCTCTGCTTATCTTGATTACTGATTACTGACTAATCTTGCAATGCTGAATACTTGCCACAGATTAGAAGAACACTGCTTGTGTTTCTTAAATATCCCTAAACTCCGATAGTTTTTTCCGCCTTTCACAAAATACTCCACTCAACTTCGTACTCAAATTTGAGAACTTGGATTTACTTAGTAAAAGATTCTTCAAACACTTTTCCTTTTTGCCTTTAGATTTCATAAGTGAAACTCCTGGCATCTTCAAGACTGCATTCATTAAACAAAAAGAAAGCCAGGTAAAGTGACAGAGCGAAATATCCGTGAATTTTCGGTGATTCCCGATCTGGTTTGTATTCAGGTAATACTTTTCCTAGGTTGTGTGGCTTTGGGAAGCAAAAGAACAATGTCCTGTACTAAACGTACCAAAGAACGTACCAAAACCAACTGAGGCTACATTCTCTTATCTGCTTTGTGGAGATAAGTGGGTTGAAAATCAACTTTTCTAATACTTCTTGGTGTCAGTGCCTCAAGGTCGTTAGGATAAAAATAAGGCTTTCAACTCTCAGACGTTTCACAGCCCTACAGCCCTTTACTAAAAGCTAAACAATAAGGCATCTTCCTTCCCGCTCCAGCCCAGCCAGTTAAAATCGCCAAAGCCACTCGGCCCAAATTTCCCGGCTGTGCCCAGGGCGGGGTCCAACGGTGCTGAAGCTCCGGACACCGCCCCCCAGGAACCCCCGTCGCTCGGGGCCGCCCCTGGCGGGCGCGAGGAGCACAAACGGGCAGAGGTGGCGCAGAGCAGCGCTGGCGGCCTCCCCCGGGCGCAGAGCCCGAGTCCCGAGGGCGGGCGCTCCAAGCCGGAGGCTGAGGAAGGGACCGCCCGCGTCGGGCCGAGCCGCGCCAGGAACCCCCGGCCCCGAATTCGCGAGCAGAGGGACTCGGCGGAGGGGCGCGCGGTCCTAGCCCCGGGACGAGGAAAGGCGGCGGGCTCCTCAAAGCTATGGCAGGGAGGGCGGCGGGGGTAGCCATGGACAGGGTCCGGGGGGAAAGTGGGCGCCTCACCTGCTCCTCCCAAGACAGCCGCTACAGCTCGCTGACGGGACAACATGGAGCCTCCGCCTTCAGCAGAAGCAGCTGGGTCGCAGACGAGAGGCGCGGGCTGGGGCGGGAACAAGCCAGGCCCTCGGGGCGGGAAACGGGCGGGGCCTGGGCTCTAGAAGAAACTGGGCAGAAGAAGTGGCGCGCGAAGCCGCCCGAGAGCGAGCGCTGGGCGGGTAAGCTAAGCCCGACTGGAGCCCCGAGGCGCGGCCAGCACAGGGCGGGCCCGCGCGGGATAGCGCTCGCGGCCGAACCGCCTGGGGTGTATGCGCGTGCGCAGGAGCGCGCCGCCGGCTACCTTGGGCTGGGTGTTGTGACCAACAGTCCGTTGGGTATTGTAGTCCCTCCTTGTCTGACTCCCGGCTGGCGGTGCCCATTTTGCTCACTCATCCGGGGCAGGAAGGAAGCAGAGGAGAGGGGTGAAGCTTGGCGTGGGTCTCCGACGTCTGATCTACAATTCCCAGCAGGCCGTGCGGGAGCCGGGAGAAGAGGGCCTCCTCCGGCCCGCCAGCGAGCCGGGCCTTAGAGCTGTAACGAGGCCCGCGGCGGAAGCTTTGGGGTCATCGGGCTCGTATTCCTGCCTGCCGCGTTTGAGATGGTTTCGGTGTATAACACAGGCCGGGGCCACAGGTGGGCAGCACCCTGCCTTAAAGACCCAAAGGAGGACTTTGCCCTGGGTGACGCGAACCTCACTGGATTTTTAATGATTTTGACTTCACAAGGAGGGAGGCGGTGACTTCATTACCACCATCATCATCACCCCATATTCCTGCCTCTAGCTAAGCCTGATGGTGCACATCACCCCTCTAAAAGCGCTAGGGAGACCTTTTCCACCGGCTTTGTTCAGCCTAAAGCACAAACGTCTTTTGTAAACCTCAGATTTACAGGGGCTTGTTTTCAAGCTTTTTTTTTTTTGCAAGCACACTTTTGCTTAAACCGTATGGTGGTTGTTAGTTTTCGTTGAGTAGATTCCAACTCATGGCGACACAGAAGGTTCTCTGAAAATGCTTTTATGCATACAAGTGATTGAGAAAATGTCATTTGCCACAGTTGAGGAATACTGTCTAAGATTTGTTGGGTAAGGGTGGCTTGGTAATGAATAGCTCGTGGGGCTTATGGGAAGATAAAGCATCCTATTCCCCCCACCACCACCTCTTGGCATCACCATTATCACATTTATTTAACATTATTTCACCTTCTTTCCTCTGCCTCTGCCTCGACTATTATAATCTATCCAGGACCTACTTCCGACTATCTCTAGGCCCTGCCAAGCCTTTAAGGTAAATTTTTACTTCCCAAGTGATTAGGTCAAAGATGAAGAGGCGCTTAGGGTGGTCTCTTTAACTTGTTTCCCTAACTAACCCTTCTGATACTCCCCAAGCTCTTAAGATAATTTGAACACCCTCCTCCAGACTTTAGATTTGTCTAGATTAGATCTAGACCAACTAAAGCCAGCAAGAGACGAGAAAACATCAAGGCAAGTGGTTACTGGGGATTCACACCGGATGTGCAGAAGGCAGGACCTACAGAATGTGACACACACCCCTTGGCATTATGTGGCATGCTCAGAAAGAGAAAGGAGGGGTCAAAGGCCAATGACTCATCACAATTGAAACTTGCTGTGTAAGAATCCAAAATTCTTACATTTTGAAGATCCTCACACTCCAAGATTCCCTACTCACTTCCCCTGCTTTACTTTCTCCATAAGACTTCTTACCATCTGACTTACGTTTTACTTACTGTTTTGTCTGTCTTTTCCCATTAGAATGTAAGTTTTCAATAAAGATAGGAATTTTTGTCTATTTTGTTTACTGCTATATCTCCAGCACCTCAAACACTGCCAGGCAGACAGTAGAGACTCAAGTATCTGTTGAATGAATGAATAAAGAAGATATATATTACACTTGACACAGCTCACTTTGTTGTTAGCTGCTGTTGAGTTGACTTCAGCTCATGGTGTCTTCATGTACAACAGAAAGAAATGTTGCCCTGTCCTGCATCATCCCCATAATCACCAGCATGTTAGAATCTATCATTGTGGCTATTGTGCCAATCCATCTCACCAAGGGTCTCCCTTGCCCTCCTTGGCCCTCTACTTCACTGAAATACTGGTGGTGGTGACAGAGCTTATAACATTATAGCAACATACAAGCCACCACAGTATGACAAACAGGTAGTGGTCACTCACTTTATTAAGTACCTAACTTAACATTAAGTACCTTTAATATTAAGTACCCAACTTTTACTTTTGAACAAAATGCCTTATACTATTTTAAGGGCTCCCAATAAAGACCCGCTGAAATTCATTCTGTCCAGAAGTGGACAGCAAATACTGACATCTATCTCAATATAATGACATCATCAAGGTCAATGTTAGCACCGCATCAGCCTTCCCATACCTTGTAGAAGCTTTCCATATTTAGAACAAAGTGTTACAAATTACAGGTGGATTTTAGGATTAGTCACAACTTTGAAAGCAGCCCCTGTAAATGAGAAACGTGTTGTTGTTGCTTTTATTTCCTTCTCAAATATCCAGGGTCAGCAAGACATAATATTCAAAATGCTAAATATTGATAATACTGGTTACAGCCTTTCTGCCTTCAGCCATTTCACTCTGAATTGAGTCACACAGTATGACTGGCAGCTGAGCCTTCTTTGTGGTTCAGAAGTAAGTGACATGAAGACATGTTGAGTGGTAAAGGCCACAAACTTTTGGGTCAGACTGACCCGGCTTTGAATTCCTGCTCTAATGCTCACTAGCTGTGCAACACTGGGTGAGCTACTTAACCCCTCTGAACCTGTTTCATCATCTGCAAAATAATTCAAATACCCACATCACAGAGTTGTAGGTTAAATGAGATGCATTTGGTAATGATGACTGGTGAACATTATATTCATTCTGGAAAAGCAAATTCATAAGAAAGATACTCAAGTATTTTATGAAGCATAAAAATAGCAAAATCATTTTCTGCAATAAGCATTCACTATGACTCAAATTCCAAAGCTTTCCAAAAACAGGGCTTGTTTATGTGCCAAGCACTGTAGTAGGCATTAATGCTGCAACAACAAACCAAGCACTGTGCTAGCCATTAATGCTGCAACAATGCATAAGACACCTTCCTGTCCTTCAGGAACTCACAGTCTGGTGGGGTAAACAGCCAAGTAAATAATTATCACTCGCTGTGACCATGTTGGGACACAGTTTCGCCCTCTCCCCTATCATCTACTCGCAGGAACGGTGTTTAAGCAATAGTCAGGGCACTAGGAAGGGATAGGCTAGAATACTGACATCGCTGGGCATCATTTAAACATCCATGCCTTACATTGTTCATGTGTAAAATGGAGTCACAAGATGGCCTAGAAACTGTGGTGGGAAATTAGTTGTGTAAATGCCAGTCCTCAAAGGGTCAAAAGGAACCCTCCTGGCAGAACTGGTTAAGCACTTGGCTACAACTCTAAAGGCTGGTGGTTCGAACCCACCTAGTGGTTCCACAGGAGAATGACCTGGTGATCTGCTCCCATAAAGATTACAGCCTAGGAAACCCTATGGGGCAGTTCTACTATGTCACGAGGTTACTATCAGCCAAAATCAACTCAACGGCACCTAACAACAACAACATAGGGGCCAAAGAAGTGACGCTCCACTGAACACTTTAAAAATCCCATCTGATTCTATAGAAGAATCCTGATCAAAAGGGGGAAAATGCAGAACAGAATTTCAAATTCTAATGGACTCCAGACTTTCTGGAGCCATGGAAGCTGGATGAACCCCTGAAACTATTTTCCTGAGATAATCTCTAAACCTTATGCCAAAAATATCCCCTGAAGTCTTCTTAAAACCAAACAATAGTTTAATTTAACTAGTAAAGAATGTCTGCCATGAGCATTAAGCTCTTTTAAGAACTATTTATATGGGATCAAAGTGACAACAACAATTCAAAGATTAGACAGGAATCTTAGGGGGCAGTGATTTTTAATGTGGAAGGAACAACAGAGAAGGACGGTAAGAATGGTTGCGGAACCCAAAGAATGTAATAAATGACACTGAATTGTACATGTAGAAATGGTAGAATTGGTGTATATTTTGCTGTGTATATTCTCAATAACAACAACAAAATAAATTTTAAAAAAGAAAAACAAATCCCATCGTAGCCCTTCCTGCCCAAAAACTTTCACTAAGTCTCCATTAGCCCTAAGGCAAAATCGCAAGTCCCTAGTGTAATATTAATGCTTCTCCACACTCTGACCCCAACCTTTCTTCCCCCTTTTACCTCCCTCTTGACCCAATTCTAGGCCTCAGCTCCAGCCAACTTGGGCTGCCATGCCCCAAACACCCTACACACACTCACACTTCTGAGCTTCTGGCCACCACAGATGGCTGTGCAGTCTGTTTACTGCAATGAGGCAGCCCATGGAGGGGAGGGGCAAGAGAAGATGAAATCTAGGCCATGATCTGCTAGACAAGCCAGCATGGAACTGCATGGCTAAGAGGAAAGGATGCTTTTTTTGTAATTCAGCTGTGCAGAGGGGTACCTTTTCTGTATACTTGCACAAAAGCAATCCCTGCTTTTTCTTCACACCATTCCCTCCTGCCTTTGATGGCTTCCGTACGACTCCAAACTCCTATCCACCTTTTAAGATTGAGCTTCTTCCTAAAAACTTCTCAAGCCACTGTAACTCCATAGTGATCCCTCCTCTTAAATTCATATGCTCACTTGCCACCCAATCATAGCACTATGGTTTTGTATTGTTTGGGGTTGCTTTTGGTTCTAGTTAATTTGTACTATTTAGCTTTATGTGAATATATGCTAAGCCCCAAATAGCTTGTAAGTTCACTGAAGTCAGAGCAACATATTATATTCTTAGATCCCTCCAAAGTGCCCACGATAGTGTTACACACACAGCATGTGAGAGTAAACATCAGTGACACCAATCATTATACAAATATGCCAACATCCCAAGCAGGAATCAGTCTCAGGCAAGTTGATAGGTATAGCTAGAGAGAGCAGAAGGAAAGACAGCTTCAGCAGTTGGATCTAGCATGAAGGCCTCCACTGTTAAAAAAAAAAAAAATCCCTGAAAGGTCTGAAAAGACCACCAAGAACACATCAATGTCTTGATTTTTAGCTTTTTTTCTCTGCTTCTCAGAAGCCTTGGTGGCACAGTGGTTAAGCTCATCGACTGCTAACCGAAAGACTGGCAGTTCGAATCCAGTAGCCACTGCCTGGGAGAAAGACGTGGCAGTCTGCTTCCATAAGGATTGTTGTCGTTAGGTGCCGTCGAGTCAGTTCTGACTCATAGTGAACCTATGTACAACAGAATGAAACCCTGCCCGGTGCTGTGCCATCCTGCACCATCCTCACAATCGTTGTTATGCTTGAGCCCATTGTTGCAGCCACTGTGTCAATCCATCTCATTGACGGTCTTTCTTCTTTTTGCCAACCCTCTACTTTACCAAGCATGATGTCTGTCTTAGTCATCTAGTGCTGCTGTAACAGAAACACCACAAGTGGAAAGTTTTAACTAGAGAGGCTTATTTCCTCACAGTTAAAGTAGGCTAAAAGCCCAAAAGGGATGTGACCTGGGTAAGGGTGGTGTTACAATCCCACCCTAATCCTGTTTAACATATAATTACAATCACAAACTGGAGGCCAACCACACAATTCTGGGAATCATGGCCCAGACAAATTGATACACACATTTTTGGGGGGACATAATTCAAACCATGACCATGTCCTTCTCCAGGGATTGCTCCCTCCCGATAACATGTCCAAAGTATGTAAGACGTAGTCTTGCCATCCTTGCTCCTAAGGAAAATTCTGGTTATACTTCTTTCAAGACAGATTTGTTCCTAAAGATTACGGCCTTGGAAACTCTATGGGGCATATGGGGCAGTTCAGTTGATAGGGTTGCTATGAGTCGGAATCAACTCTATGGCAACGGGTTTTTTTTTTTTCTTCCCTCTGCTTCTAGATACCATGAAAATGAGTTTCTTTGCTAGCCCAGGGTTTCCAGATTCTAACAATTGTTGTCATAGTTAGGGACCAGCATCACTGATTTCCTTATCCAACACCTAATGACATGGATTTCTTATTCATTTGTCAGCGTGGGTATACAACCAGCTTGGTTAACAGATTGGCTTATATTTCCCTTTGCCATCTAAGGGACAGTTTGCTGCTGCATTATCAACTGATGCTGTAAGTGCCAGAGTAAGATATTTGCTGCAAAGTTATTTTGGGAGATATTCTTCCGTGCTTTTTTTCAGAGCAGTGCAACGGACACAAGTTTTTTGTTTTTGTTTTTTTTCCCGTCTGGGTTTTACCTGACCTTAAAAACTGTCAAGGGCAGATGGAGTCCACTGCCTATTCTAGAAGATTTCCACTGGTTGGATTGCTTTTCCGTCTGTAGCCGCCTGGCTGACTACCTCCCCCTACATGAGGTTGCATCTTTACAGGATCTGCTGATCCTGCAATTGCTCTTCAGGTCATTGATTGCTGCTTTAGCAATAACAAAGCTTATGGCCTTGATTTTTATTATTTTCAGGTTATGGCCTCCTTTTTAAAAGGATTATGCACCTTGCAAATATTTTGACCAGATGTAGGGTGAAGGCTTTGAATCTTTGAATCTGGCAAGCCAACCCAGGAGAAGCAAAAAATGAACAAAATCCAGTATAAGCTGGATGTCTGGTTTCAAATATATTTTCTACTAAGGACCCCTTTTAGGCTATGAGTAAAACTCAATTATGGGTATTTTGTGCCATAATCTCAATTTTTAATACCTTGTCATCCCCCGTAACTACAGCCAGGATGTTCTTATCTTCTGGCTCTTCTTTCCTCATCAGCTCAGCTTCTTTTCCTTAAAAATATGTCTTCTCTGTCCGAGAGCCTGTTCGGAGGAAAAGGATAAGCTTAAGACCCAAGGTGGACCCCTCTTTGGGAACAGTAACGAGGTAAGAATAAGAAGCAGGTTTGGCGGCTGCATTGCAGTGTGATTGGAATGAGTAATGGTTTTTCACCCTGCACAGCATCTTCCTCCACCTACCAAACAGGAGACCGTGCCTTCTCTGCCGCTTGGTGATGAGATATTACGACACATAGATTTATAAAGCACTGTAGAAGTGGGCCTGCTCAATACTACAGTTTTCACTTTTCACAGTCTCAGGTGGGAATACATCAGACACAAGACGTCGGCTCTGGAATTTATGGGAAAGGTATTTCCCATCTAATGGAAGCAAAAAGAAACTTCTATAGTTAAAAACACCAACTGTGGACCCTAAAATATTTACATAAATAGATAACAGGAAACACTATTCCGCACGGCGCCACCCCCCGCTTCGGCTGCAGAGGTGGGCGGAGCTTGGTGCATGACCACGCCCCCTTCCGCTCCCGCCCCTCCCCCCAGTGGCGCGCCCTACCCGGGCCGCTCTGGCCAGGAGCCCTGTGAGGCCAGTTTTGCCCCGCCTTCCCTGCATAGCGGGGAGGGACAGTTCTTGCGCCTGCGCCTTGAGCCGCTGGGCTTCTCGGCGCGGCCGCCACCCGCCCCCGCCGCCCGCCGCCCGCTCAAGAGCCCTTTGTGCGCCTGCGCGCTCCCGCTCCCTCTTTCCCTCCGGCTCTGCTCGGTTGGGTCGGTCAGTCAGTCCGAGTCTGCCCACGAAGCAGGCGTGAAGCGACTTCTGAGCGCTAGCTGCCCGGTTATTTTATTTCCCCTCCGTCTCTCCCGCCCGTGCTCGCGCAGCCATGGCGGAGCTGTCGGCGGCCACTCAGTCTCCGTCCATCTCCTCGTCGTCCTTCGGGGCCGAGCCCTCCGCTCCCGGCGGCGGCAGGAGCTCGGGAGCCTGCCCCACCCTGGGGGCGAAGAGCTGCAGCTCCTCCTGTGCGGGTGAGGACGGCCGGGGAGCCCACGCCCTCGGGAGGGAGGGCCATCGGGGCCAGGGGCTCAGAGTCGGAGGGCGCAGTGGGGTGAGGGGGCATACAAACTGCCCTTGGCTACTGAGGGATTCGGCACCCGGGAAGGAGGGTTTGGAAAATGGGCAAAGGGGGAGGGGAACCTAAGGTCGTGCAAGCGGTGAGGAAATAACGGGGTGTGGGGAAAACAGGTTGGGGGCGGGGAGGTAGTCTAGAGAAGTAGGCTTTAACACCAAGACCTAGCTGGTGGGGGAAAAACACCAGTTCGGGGGAGGGTGGGATTAGATGGACTATTGCTAGAAGCGTATGATGAATCAAGTTCGGGTAGACGAAAGCGCAGTCCTCTGAACAGGGTTGATTTAGTGGAGGAGGATTAGAGAGACAGACTATAAAGAGGATTGGGGCAGGTTGGTGATAGGAGCAATAATTAGGATTTTGAGGGGATGGTGATGGAGGGGTTGCAGTGCAGATTTGCAGACAGGTGTTGTCATAATCAGACATTCATGGTAGTTTTCAATTTTGGGTTTTTTTTTTCTTTTTCTTTTTTTTGCCGGTGGGGAGGATAAGGAAGTTTAACCTTTCTTTACTGTTTTCATCCGCCTTTAATTTTTGGTGGCATGCCCGATTTTTCTGGGGCTCCAAGGTAAAGAGGCATGATGAGAATAGCTCCGGGAAGATTTGGAAGGGAACTGCTGATGGGCCAAGATGGTTCCGTGGCTGCATCTGCAGCACAGCCTGCTCTTCACTGGCGCGGCGTGGGGGTGGGCGTATGCAATCAGTCGTTATATATTGTAGAAGGTAATAAATAAGGAGCAATGCCAAGCCATCAAATATGTTTGGGTTTCGTGTTTTCTGTGGGCTATTATTGATCGCAGTGTAACAAAAGGGGGCGTTTGCTGCAGAAAGGGGGGAGGGGGGAGAAATTCAGACAAAGCGGGAGCTGGTTTAACCCCCTTCTCCTCCCATTTCTGTGAAAGACTAGGAGGGAAGCTGCAGGCCGCCTTTAGTTTCCTTTGTATACGCGTCTGCCTGCTGGTGGGAGCTGGCTGGCAGGCTCCCCTCGTGCAGAGATCTGCAGTGCAGATGCCGTCTTGTGGGGAAAAAAAATGCACCATGAGCAGGCAGGTGGTGGTTCTTAAAGGAATTGAGTCTTTGAATAAAAAAAAAAAAAGCATTCTGTTAAAGGAAGGGTCATAAGCTAAGGAGAGTACAGGTAATTTTGATCTTACTTAAAGGATTCGAGAGGTTTTTAAAATGATTCTTTGTCTCCTTTGTTAGAATCTTGAGTTGATCACTCTAAAGAATATAAAATTTCTGATCTTAGCTTTAAATATATTCTGTACGTGTTGATAGTAGATTTCCACCTGTTTAAGAGCTTTGGTGCCTTGTTGGATTTTTCCATTGTGGTTATGGTCATTTCATTGGAAACAGACCCGTGTCAGAGGAAGCTTCTGCAGGTCAGGATTAGCTGTCAAAGGAATGAGGCAGCAAATTTGGAACCCTTGTTTTCTTTATACCACCAGCGTTTCTCTAGATTTTTATGTTCTAGGCAAAGATCCAGATGAACAGCAGCTTCCCTCTAATTTAGCAACCTGGTGTTTTGACTTTAATCACTTGTAATTGCTTACTGTTTGGTCCTTTTGTGCATACCTCTTGATTTTTCAGTATTTGATTTGGACCTAAGTTTTAGGAATTGTCCTTTAGCGCTCACGGTAAGACCAATGTTACATTCTGGTTAGCAGGCATTAAAATTTAGTCTTAACATTTGCAGCCAAATGGTGAAATCATTTGAGAATCGGCTTCTTTTTTTCCCTTAATGCAGTGTTATGGAAGAATTGGCTCCCTTAATAGTCCAATGAAATGAAAATTATTTTGTTGACAGACAGACAGACACACACACACACACCCCCACACACACCACCAAGCAAACCCTAAATTGGAAATACGTATTTGATGTATAATCTCTTTGGCTTACATTTTTGATACCTTTACCCTTGTCACAATTTTTATTCGATACTGGCTTTACCTTGTTGTTTTTTGCACTCTATACTGGTGGAAAGGATGCTGAAATTATGTGTTTTACAGAAAGTAGTGGAATGTATATTTTAAAGTGTCCCAAGTACATAGGTTTTCATTACATTTTCCCAGTACTATTAAATACCTCAATGTTTAGCCATTATTTCTTAGTAAAATTTTATTACAGAATTATTTATTAGATTAGTTATAGGCACTTTGATTATCATCTTTGGCACTTGACAAGTATTTGTTGTATGGTCATCAAACCTATTAGCTGGAAAGTACAACTGGAAAAATGAACTAGATAGATGCTCTATCTTAAACTCTTACCAGTGTGAATGTGTATTAGTATTGGTGAGCCCAATGCAAGACCCTCATTTGTTGGATCCCTACTTGACTATAAACGTTTACCTTAAGATACTGCAATGTATAGTCATTTCATTGCAGAAGCTCTTCCTCCTTGCAAAATGGTTTCTCTGCCTCTCACAGAAAATGTCTCAGGCTTCTGCATCGTGAAAATAAGATGACGGCTGTTATTCCAAAATTTAACTCATTAAAATGAATGCTAAAAAAATCTACCAGGTGTTGCTGAGAGCCTTCAGCCTCGTGTTCTTTCACCAAGCTCCTCTTGGTTTTAAGAGCCTTTTAAAACATAAAAGCAGAAAAATGAGTGGTCGCTTGGTGTCCTACAGTTTTTGTCTTGACTGACCTGTGCAGCAATGAATTTTAGAAATACTAGTTCATACATAAAGAGAAGGAGTGTATGCACTCTGTGTTGCAGTGCCTCAGGTACTAGTGCAGCCAGCCACGTAGTACGCTTAGAGGAGGAGGTCAGGGGCCAGGATGGCTTCCCAGATTTCCGCCTTTGAAGGAAACCCAAGACTTCAAAGGCAGAAATTTGAGTTTGAGGAAAAAGAGACTTAAATATTCTTTTCTGAATAAGAGTTGTCTTTACTAGTCATCAAGTATAGGTACATGTCTATTGTTTGAATTTGAAAAGTAATTTTTTACTCTGTATATGACAGAAATTTTATCATTTACCATAGACAGCTCTTCCTTTTTGTCATGAAATCATGATATCAGATTAAAGCTACATTTCTTGTATCTGTTCAGGAAAATTGTTCAAAGCAAAAACACTTGGGCAATTAAAATTTTTTTTTGCTTTAAGTACCTATTCACTCATGAAACTTAGACGTTCTGTGTACTTTTTGTGGCTTTTCCACTTTTTTTTAGCATGTCAATCAAATATATGTAATTGGCATTTTCAGTCTGCATCCTTAAACAAAAAGGAATCTGTTCAACATTGACGTGATCTGTGTGTTACATTTCTGTCGCATTATCAGCAGGAGAATAATACGGTGGTAAACAGCCCAGACTTGAGCCTCAGAGACACCTAGATTTTAATCCTAGCACTCTCTCTCTTAATAATTGTGTGACTTTGTACAAATTAAGCCTGAGCATCAATTTTTCTTCTCTTTAAAATGAGAATGATAATAGTACCTATCGCTAAGTTGATGTGAAGATTAAATGAGATAACCCATGTAAAGAAAGGGCTTAGTGTAGTGTCTTGCCTATACTGAGTGCTTAGTAAGTAATATTACCATTAATATGAAGGAATAAAATAATCGATCAGCAGTGTGACCTAGACATATTTGTTTTGTGCCCTTAAGTCCTGACACTTTTTGAATAGTACGTAATATTTGATACATCTGTTTGCAGGTTAAAAACTGTTTGTGCATATATACATAAAAGCAGGTTGAATTACAAGTGAGAAATCACAATCTTCCTTGCTATAAAGGAAGATTCTTACACCTTTTTCTTCTCAGAAGTGAGTCAGTTGTTTCAACTTGTCATCCCTCAGGTTAATGTCTTAAGGCTGCTACCCTTCTCACTCAGCTGGTCTGTTAAAGAGGTAGGGGAAGAGCCAGGATGTTTCATAGGTGGCTTGCATGACAGATCAGCATGCTTCAATAGTTCCTGCTGCTTTCTGAATAAGTGTTGTCATGGTACATTAAGAAACTGTTCCTATCATTGGAAGCAAGATCACAGGAGAGACCGCAGGAATGGTAATGGCAGATGGTCTGCAAACTCCCATTGACTTGGATTGTTTTTAATTCCTGAGGAATAAAAAGTTTCATTTCAATGCTGTTTTCTTTTAGAGTCAGGTTCACAAATAATTTAACCACTCAGATGGGATTTAATAACCAGTCTACATATATTTAACAGATACAGTTTAACCCTGAATTGAAATCTCTTAGTGGTTTATTTATGAAGTTGCTGGTAAAGGTATCAGTGTTTTTATTTTTGGTATTTAGAATTGGTCTGAAAACAAAATGAAACTTTGATTTTGCTTTTATTGTATTTGGCCGGTGAGGAAATTATATATTAGTCGTGATACAGTAGTCATCTTTCTAATCCTGTGAATGTTTCAAGCACTTGTAAAGTCAACTTTGATAGTGAAGGAATTGGTGATGAGTCATTAAAACATGGTTTTGTTTGAGCCAAGAGGTCGTTTGTTCTCTAGAAAAGCACTTCTCTTTAGACTAGCCATAATCGTAGAATTTATTGTTGTAGTAATTCTAAGCAGAATTATAAAGGCTCTAAGTAGATTTTGTGATACAGATACTTTATATATAGATGTTGTATGTACTTACCTTATGGTTTGTGTTCAACTTTATTATTAATGATTCATTTAGCCACCTAAAGACCTAAAGAATACAGGCTTGTGAAAAATACATCAATTTCATAGTAAAACTTTTTAGATAACAAAATTACCAAGTTGATAATTTGTTCATGTAATTGACTCATTCAGAAATTGCCCAGAAAACTGACCTTTTATTCTGTTCATTTGTAGCAGTTATTAATTCTAAAATTATTTCGAGTCATTGATTATGTTATAGATGTTTTGAAAGAAGTACAAAAGAATGCTAAATAAGTTTAGCTGCAATCAGGATTGCT